CCCACGAAAAAAAAAAAAAAAAAAAAAAAAAAAAAAAAAGAGTTTCAGCTGCTCTCGGAGAAGTGGCGAACGGAGGCGGCTCCTAGTTCTGGTGCCGCTTCATGTGGAGAGCCAGATGGTCGGAGCGGGAGAAGCACCGGCCGCAGGCGAGGCACTTGAAGGGCTTGGCCCCCGTGTGCTTTCGGTAGTGCCGGGGCAGCTCGTCGGAGCGGGCAAAGCGCCAGTCGCAGCCTTCCCACGTGCATTTATAGGGTTTCTCACCTGCGGGGAAGAGCCACAGGTCACACAGGCCCCCCCGCCCCCGCGCCACGCAAGAGCCTCGCGCTGACACGCGTCTGCCCGGCCTCCAAAAACACCCACCCTCCTCCTCTCAGAGGTGCCCGTCCTCCTTGGGAGGCCCTGGAGGGCACCCAGGGCTGGCCTGAACAGGGCTCGTGGCCACGCTGGTGCTTTACATGCCAGGGTTCACTTGCTCACACAGTTTGTAGCCACCAAGAGACCACGTCTCAGCCGCGTGGGCCACCCCCGGCTTTGCTTTCTAGGCTTGGGTTTTCTGTTGGATTTTGGAGCATTTCTGGCTAAAAATTTCTCCCAAGTTTTTTTTTGTTTGGTTGGGTATTTTTAACTAAAAAGCCAAAAATCCCTACGGAAGGCGTTGCTGCTCATACAGGTGGGGAGGGGGGGTATCAGGAGGACGAAGTGTTTTACGCCATATATATTTTCCTCAAAGCCTCACATCTCTGAAACCACCATCCAAGGCTCCCTGCCTCCAAGTTCAGCCCTGCGGCAGCGCTCTGTACACAAAACAGTGTGTTTTCTCCAGAGCGTTCGGGTGACGTCGCGCCTCTGCCCTCTCCCCTCCTTCCCGCCCACACATACCTCTTCCCAAACTGAAAAATCAATTAAATTGTGCAACCTCTCAGCCAGCTGGGAACTGGGCTGGAAAAAGCCCGTGCCCGCTTTCCAACTCCCTGCGTGCCCGGGTTGTAGAGCTGAACCCTGGCTGCAGCCCTCTCCGCGCATGGGTGTGGTGCTCTCAAATATTAGCCCTCGCTCTTAACAGCCTGAACAAGCAGGCAGAGTTCAGGGAATGTGCTGACTTTCCCGACCTCAAATATTTACCGTTTCATCGGCCAATTGCCGAGCACACCGTCGCGGCATGAATGCACGTACACACGCAGCGTGCATGCACAGGCATGTGTGTCGTGCTCTGACATGCTTCCCGGCGAGCGGCCGTTCCTCCCCGCAGCCTGCGCGCTGGGCGGGCGCTGGGTTTGGCCAGGAAAGAGAAAACATTCAGCCACAGCGAGATCTACAGTCCCTTGCACACACGGGACAAAAAGGAGGCTTTCACCCTTGGAATCCGAGCTATGGACCCTACAACTGAGGGTTTCTGACCGCAAAGTGAGGCTTTGAGCCCTAAAAGAGGGCTACGGACCCTCCAGATGAGGGTTTGGACACTCACGATGCGTCTTGGACACTAAAATGCCTGCCTGGACCCTAGAAAGGAGGCTTTTGAGCCTGAAATGAGGCTTCAGATTCAAAAACTAAAAGCTGGAAAGAATGAGGCTGAAGTCACCATCGATGTGCTTCGGGCTCTAGAAATGAGGCTTTGGAGCATCCGAGTGAGACTTTGGGGCATCAAAATGACACTCAGGGTCCTTCGAATGAGTCTTTGCACCTCTAAAAGCGTAAACCGTGGAATATGAAAGCACAGGCAGGTGAACCTGGAGGAGACGGGGCACCAAGGCCACGTCCTGCTCCTCAAAAAGCCCCTGGAGGGGGAGGAGAGAGGTGTATTTTTTTATGGCTCAGGTAAATAGAGAACTCCAAGTCACTTTACAAGCAGCACGCTGGGGATCTCGGGGGTTTTGCGTTAGCGTGCTAAGACAAAGGCGGGATTTGCACTGTGCAGCCACAGACATTGTCCCAGCCGGGTCACCTGGCTGGGTCAACCCTACCAAGGCCCTTTAGTTTCAAACAATAACAGGTTGATCGCCAGGATAGAAGCAAAAATGCTTTCCATTGTCCCACGAGCTGGCTCCGTCTCCCAGGACAGCACGGCAGGGCAAGCTCAAACAAAGGACCCAAACTGGCATTCCCAGCCCCCCGGGAGGCGGGTGAGCAGCCACCGGGTTATATATTTAATCTCACAATGGCACCCAGGAAATGAATGGTGTCTCCAGGAGATGAATACAGCCCGGCCCATAGCAACGGGCAAACCACAAGAAAAGATCTTGGAGATCACGTACTTCTCAGCCCAGCCGCCATCAGGCGAGAAATCGAGAGAAAGGGCGCTATTAACCCCTCAAGCGACGGAGCTGAAGCGGCACCGAGCGTGCCTAGCGGGCAGGAGCTGGGATGGACCTTGCCGTTGCCACTCCGGTGCCGTGCCCCGCGAGGCCGGGGCCTCCGAAGCAAAACATTGAGGCTTCAAAAACTGGGCACAGACACTCTGACTCTGCCCACGGGCAGCTCTGGCTTGGATTCCCTTCTTTTTCACCCACCCCACAACACTACCGGTTTTCTTGGCTACTCAGGTCACATCCTCCTTCTCCTCAGTGCCCTCTCACAGCGAGGGAAGTGGAAGGAGGCAAGCACACTGGGATTTCCAGCCCCATTACTGGGAAAACCTGGAAAAACAACTGCGTTGTATCGGGTTCAAAACCTGCCCAAGTTTGCCTGGATGCACCTTTATATCGTGGCTTGTAAGGACGGCGCCTGGCTCAGATGGGTCACGTCTCTGGGCACAGAGCTAAGACTCGTGCTCTGAACGGAAGGGGAAAAGAGATATTTCGTTTTAAAGCGAGAGCCCTGAATACAGACTGCCCATGTGACAAACGCTTATCACCACCCAGCTCTCGGAGCCGGGACAATGTCCTTCCTGTTCCTTTCTTCCACCCCTTCCGTGTTGTTCTCCAGCCCACTCCTACCCGAGCCCTGCCAAAAAAATATTGTACCTCATGCACAAAGAAAAATTCTTTGCTGGCTTGTTCGAAGGGCTGATAAGGCGAAAACAGGACAGAGCCAAGCGCAAGAACTGATTCCCAGCCTCAGGATGGGTTTTGTTCGTTGTTAATAAAAAAAAGAAAAGTGAACTCTGGGCCAGCTTAATTGCTTTCAGTAAGGATCAGCCCTTCTATAAAAGAGATTTATGAGGGCACTGATGGTTCCTGGACTACCTGAGGATCTGATAAAAGTTTCAGGTATAATAAATGCCTTAATGAGAAGGCCTGTGCTTGAATGCACAACGGCCACTGAGCTAGGCTTACCGCGGGGTAAACCTGGTCGTGGTGGGAGTGGTGGGAGCTCCTCTGTGCCAGTGACCCTGTTTACAGCAGCAAGGGCAGCCCACAGCCCCTTTACCCTCGGGAATGAGGGCACAGCCCTTCTGTACGTGAATTCGAGCCCTTCTGCACGTGTATTCGGCAGCTCCAGCGACACACGACTGGCAGCTGCTGAGGGGACGAGAGCTGGGCACGAGTGGTCTGTGTGGCGGGTACACAAGGGGATAAGAGGGGTTCCTTCCGCTCCTCGGGAGCCACAGGGGCGCCTGGCACAAAAGAGGCAAGCCTTATCTCTTCAGAAGTCTTATATACCGTCCACACGCCCTTACGCAAGCTTTCTGTAGGCTAAGCAGGATCAGACCTGGCTAGGATTTGGGAGATCTCGAAGGAAGAGCTCTGACAGAGGTTTTGGGGGCACCTCCTCCTCCCAATCCATCGACTCGAGACCCTCAAGGACTTCTCCTAAATTCTAGACCATCCTTCCAGAAGGCAAGCAAGCGCCCACAGCAGCGTAGAGTCGCTCTAAACCAGCGCAACCATTGGACTTTTTTTTTTAACGTTAACATCAACAGACTTAACTGCGCTCCTCACCCCAATAACCACCCGAGATCGAGGTCATCAACTCGGCTACACGATCACCGTCGTTAACGAGCACAGTACAAAGCTGGCAGAGCTTCCTGATGATGTGGTGCTCTTACCTGTGTGAGTCCTCTGGTGTGCCTTCAGGTGGGAGCTCTTGGTATAAACTTTTGAGCAACCTGCAAAAAACAGAGAAGACACAACTTCCCCCCGTGAGAAAGGGGCCCTTCCTCAAACAAATCCAGCACATTTATATTTGAGGTTAGGGACAGAGCGGGCCTGAAAAGCACTCTGGGTAACAGCATGCAAATAAACCTGGCTATACCCGTTTTGTTTCAGCAGTAACTAAAGAGCATTTGTTCTCCAAAACAGACAGACCTCTACAACACTCCACCTTTGGCCACACCATCCTGACACCCACGGGCATCGTGCTGGGAGCTGGGGAAGAGTCAGGCACAGACTTTCAAATCCCCCCCTTTCTCAACAAGTTTTTCGAGGCAGGATGAAAACATTAAATTCACCACCGTTAGCTGCTGGCTTTGTGCTGCTGTCCGTCTTTCTGGATTCCAGACGTAACGGCTATCACTACTGCAAGACTGGGGAGAAGATGTGTTTTGTAACAGTCCCAGCCCCAGTAGATGTGGCAAAGCTGTTCCAGGAAGCAGGAAAGACTGCAGGCACACTGTGGAGCCACAGCTTGGCTTTCAGGATCCAGAATAAGGCCAGTGGGAAGTTTTTTTTCAGAAGAGCAGCAACAACAACGGGTTTAATCCAAGAAAGGCTCCTGACAGAAACGCCGTGACTTTGGCCAAAGGTTTGTCAGGTGTCTCGAAATGAATCATTGCTGGTTCCTCGTTTTAGTGAGATAAAGCTTAGAAAAGCTTCTCATGCTGCCTTTACGGCCCCGCTTCGTTGTGTTTTGACACGTACATTAAAATACGAATTTGAATTTTTATGACCTGCATAAGCAACATCATAGTCATATTTTTCATCCCAGTGTTTCCCCACAGCCTAAAGAAGCCTCTTGCAGGAGATGAGCTCTCCTTCCTGCGCTGCTCAGGAGGTGCAGGAGCAGCTAGGTGCCTTTCCCCTCCCCGTGGTAAGAGGGATAAGGGTTGGGGACCTGGTTCAATTTTGCTTCCGAGGCTCTGAAGCCTCGGAGGTCCCTCACACTTGGGAGAAAGAGGAGTATGCACGAGACCAAGGACTGGGCTCAGAAATGAAGCCAGTTGAGCACCCAGAGCAGTTTCCAAACCCAGAAGGAGCAGCACAGAGAAGCCAGAGCACGGCACGGCCGAGTTCCCCACGGACCCCCAGAGGAAAAAGTGGCCGGAAACCTGGGTTGGGGCTTTGCAATCGCGACGTTCCCTTGTTCATCCAGCTACTGGCGGGAACGCGGCGTGCCTCCTGTCGCTTCCTCACGTCACGGAGACCTGCTGCCCCTGCCATCAGCCCTGACTGGTTTCACCTCTAGCTGAACCTCGGTGTGAAGGATTAGAAGAAGCCCTCCTCTGTCTCTGCACGTACGCACTACCGAGCCACCCGGTGTTTACTCAGCGCAGGTTGTTGTTCTTTATTTTTTTTTTACACCACAGATACGTTCCTGCCTTCCCATGCAGGCCAAAACCCCGGCCAGTTTTGCCTTGGTAATGCGTCCTGCAGGATGAGACTCTTGCTCTGACGAGAGTGGTCCACTCACGTCCTTAATCTGTCTCCCACTGTGACCAGCAGAAGGTAAAAAACTCAGCACGAGCCCTTAACCACTTAGAACACGGGTGCAGCTTCTGGCTCACAAAGTCCCTAATCTGCAGGTTGCCGGAGGGTGGGAAGGTGTCAGCGCAGAAAGATCTCTCTAAAGATGTCCTATTCTTACGTACTTCCTCGGGTCGCTGCTGGAGACAGGATCTGGGCTAGACAGGCCTCCAACCTGACCTACTACAGCCACTCTTGTGCCACGGAAAGAGCGCATAAATCTTGCAGGAGGCAGTTAGGAAATGACTTTCCTCAGTTCACACACCCCCATGGGAAAACTGTTTGCTAATCTCCAGCAGCTCAATGGCTGGGGCTCGGCCCAAGAAGTGGGAGGTGTGTGTCCCTGCGCAAGGACTGGCGATTTGCAAGCCCTCACGCTGCTGTCACTGGGGTTTCTCGCCAGGGACATGACTGCTTCTCTCCCGCGCGGCACGAATGAGAGTTTGCAGCTGTGGGTCCCACAAGGTCTCTGTGGACAGTGCAGGAAACCCTGCAAGATCTCCTCGTGCCAAGGTCTTTAGGTGGACATGCTCATGCAATGAGGTGACACACAGGGACCAGCTTCAGCCCTGGGCTGATCCTGACCCTGAAATGCCTTTCCACGCCATCCTGATGCAGTACGTGAAGCCACTGAAGGAGACGACACAGAGACATTCAGCTCATGGCCTCTTTGGAAGAAGAGAATTGGGGCTACAGAGGGACACCATGAATGCAGCCTATGGAAATTACTCGATGGTTTGCCACCCAGTATGGGAGAGTGGGAAAGGAAAAGCCAGTGAGAAAGCCAGCATGGTTTCAGCCATGGAGAGCACGTGGCTGCTCAGCATTAGGCAAGACCAGAGCGAAGCGGGCAGCTAAGGCAGCAGATTCCCAGGAGCGTCCCTGTGCTTTGCAGGAGCTCGCTGCCTCTCGGAGTCAGGCTTGCTTTTGCCAGAGTGTGAAGAGGAAAGGGAAGGAGAGGCGAAAAAAGCATCAGCTAGCACGGGCAGGATTGACCTCTTCTACTCCCTTGGTGGTGGTAGGAACCCCACTTCCCTGGGGCTCTCCACCCAGCTACACACCTCCCTTCATCATGCAGACGAAGAGATTTCAGAACTTCTGGTATCCCCCAGCCTCAGTGTGTTGAGACACACACACAACCCCACACACCCCCCCCAGCCAAGCCAGTACATCAACCACGAGCCTACCTGGGTAGTCACAGTGATGGATCCTCCTTTTCTCCAGCTCAGGGTTGTTGCGTCTGTTGTATTTGGGGGGCTGCATGACAACGTGCCCTTGGGAGAGGGTGCCAAGGCCATTGGGGACGGGGGGGACCTGGGATGACTGGACCAACTTCAGTCCAAAAGTGGCTTCATAGGATGGTGGGGGAGAGATGGTGTTGATGAGCTCGGGTTGATTTTCTGGGCTGCCAGGCTGTGAGTTGGGGGGCGAAGGGGGCAGATTCACCCCCGGAGCAGGGTAGAACTGCCCTGAGATGTTGAAGTTTCCCTGTCCCTGGGAGACGTGCGGGTACTGCTTCACTGGCCCTCCTGGCTGGACAGCTCGGTGGACCACACTGGACATGGTGTTCCCTGTGGACATGGTAACACCACTGAGGCTGTTGATGGCCGTGGTGCTGTTGGAGGAGGACGTCAGCGTGGTAATGTCAGCGCTGCCGTTGCCGAGAGGCATCTGGTAAAGCTGGGATTGCTGTGGGTTGGCGGACAAGGGGATCTCAGAAGGCATCTCCTGCTTGATGAAGATGTTGTTCACTGCCACGGACTGGGGCATGCTGAAGACACTGGTGAAGTCGGGCAGGGTCTGTGTGGAGCCCGAGGCAGAAGAGCAGGGCTGGGCAAAGCTGGTGCCGGGCTCTGTTTTGATCTGTGGGAAGGGTGTCATGGGTTTGGGTGGCCGGTAAAGTCCAGTGCGCAGGTGCGTCGTGTCTGGCAGTATCACGTTGATGTTCACGCTGTAGGGGGTCGAAGTGGGCTTCTCTGTGGAGAAGAACTCGTCCACCACTGAGGCACTCTCCCGGCGGTACTTCTTGTCGGGTATCATTGGGATGGGTGGGACCTCGCTTGAAAGGTACTTATCCATTTCGGACCGTGCCTATGGCAAAAAGTACAGAGAAGGGAACCTGTGAGGGGTGACCTTGACGCACTGGTGGTAGGAGTCCAACGTTCAACAGGTATTTCGGCTAGCAGGAAATCGGGAGAGCTGCAGGAACGGGCCAGGAGTCACAGGCTGCGATAATTTAGCGTCAGTCTCTGACTCAGCCAGACTCCCCAGGAGTGAATCACTGTCTTCTATCCCACTTCCCTCCTACCTATCAGCACTGGTAACAAAGGGTAAGCTAGGCAGAGAAGGCAATTATGAGAGAAATATGGCCTGATAAAGAAGAGCCAAGCTTGAGATACAAAGCTTTGGTCCCAGAAACAAGAGAATTTAACACTAGAAACGGGATGAAATCAGAAACTCTGCTCCAATCAGCCTCGTGCTTAGGGCACGTTGGATCTGCAGCCCACCGTAGACATGCTGACGCTCGTCTCCTTTAACCTCCTTAACAGCCTGAGGTGTATTGCATTTTATTCTAGGACAACATCTTCAGTTAACTGAGAATATTCTAGGATGACATCTTTAATTAATTGAGAATAATTTGGGCTATAGCCCTAGAAATCTAAGCGATGTTGCCACTAATTCAGTGGACTGTGAGCCCAAAATGGAGACTGCCAGGCATACTGTTACTATCTTGTCTTGCTAAAGTGACTCAGCCCTCACCTAACCTTTGGTTTCGTTCTAGTTTTGTAGAGCTGTTTTTACAAGTCTGGGTCCTCCGAGCTAACAGGACCTCTAGCTCAGACAATCACCGCTTGCCAGGTTTCTTCCCCTCCTGGCTCATGTCTGATGTGGCATCCCACTGGATCCAGGCCCAACAATTCAGCAACCTGATGGAGAAATCCGCTAGGAAATTCATCCCCTGGCGTTTGATGACTCAAGTTCTGCTCTTTGTGGTTAAAGATACCAGCGCTAATGCTCTTCTATAAAGCTACAGCCTTTAATTATGTGGTTATCCATGTGTCAAGCTCATTGCAAAGCCCTCATAGACTCATTCATATGTAGAGGAGCTGGCAAAACCACCAGGTTTCCCTGGCAGAGCCTACAGCGCACTTCAGGAGAGCAAGCTGATCTCACCCCACCCGCTGCACGCTTGAGCCGAGGGTTTTACAGCTCTGAACTATGTCACTGGAGTGCAATGGGCCAAAGTCATCCCTGCTGCAACTTCATTGCTCTTAACAAAGCTGGACTGGACCCAAGAGATTTCCTCGCCCTTTCCAGTGAAACATATTACCTGTGCTTCCAGCTAATTCAAAGAACCTTTGCACCTCTGCAAGCCATACTGGCAATGCATGGGTAAGCTGGCTTCCACCCAAATACAGGTATGTGCCACAAATACGCCCTCTCCTACACGAGTAGAAGCTCAGAGCAGCCGGATTTGGAAGTCCTACACTGCACTGGAACTGAGCACACTGCACTGGGACTGTGTTTTCTACGCTGTGCTTGCCGCGCTGGTGTGTGTACACGCTGTGCTGCAAATCCTATCCACCCTCATCGAACCTGCAGGCCCTGAAAAGTCCCCGCCCTCATGAAAGGAAGCTTCGTGTTGGCACTACAAGCTCGCTTCGTGTCACATCCTCACCTAACCACCTCTGCCCAAGGCAGCGCTGCCTCCAGCAACACCCGCTCCATCACGCTCCAGCGAGGAAACCCTCACTCAGGCATACCCTAAAGCTAAGGCATGAGGATCAGAGACCCCCAACTCAGCCCTTGCAGACCAGTCCAAAAGCCTGATTTCCCCTCTGCTCCCCCCCTGCACTGTCCAACTTGGGTTCCTGCCCAGGGAGAACCACGGCAAAGCTTGGCAGGGGAACCCAGCGCGCTCCTGCCCGGTGCACCCACACTGGCACCGTGCTGTTACCCTTGGGAGCCAGCTTGCTCTAGGCAGTACCAGAGGCTCCGAATGCCGTACATACCTAAGCAATGAAACGACCCACTTGCCAGGAGTGGGGGCAGGGGGAAGGTGTTGGATGCCTTTTACTTCTATACTTCCCTTATCTCTGGCATTTAACTTTCTCACCTTCAGTTCCCAAGGGAAGGTCTCCCCGCCACAACTCCAGTGGGTCCTTATAGGGCAGGTGACCAGGCAGGTATATTCAATGTAAAAAAGCATGGAGGCCCCAAATTTCAGATCCAAAACCTGCATTCCCAACCACCATCCCACTGCCTGGCCCCCTGTTCAGTGTCTCCCAGCCTCCTTCTCTCCCATAACCACCCCTACCTGCAGAGCAAATTTGTCTTCATGTTGTTCCATTAAAGCCTGACAAATCCACTCCTGACCCTGAGCAGACCCAGGGTCCTGGGGAAAGGGGACGTTAAGGGGCAGCTGGGCGGTGGACCAGTCCATAGCTGCAGCCCCACTGGTGTGTGCGGGGCTGGGACGTGAGGACCCCTGGATTCCAGAATCCAGAATGCTGTGGCACCGCTGGTGGTGTCACAGGTCCCACGCCACCCCAAGGGCCCCAGTGCCCTTCGAAGTGGGTCAAAGGGGCATTTTGTTTGTTTGTGGCCCAGCAGTGCCTAGCAACCCAACTCTGCTCCGGCGCTGCTGGGTGCTGACACCTAATACCAAGCCGTTTCCCTCAGCACCTCCCAGCCAATGCTCGATCCAAAAACCGACTCCTGGGCCCAGGGTCAGCACAAGTGGGATGACCAAGCGCTGACACGTCTGGGCGGGATCCAGCTCCAAGTGTCCTGAACGCAGGTGTCTCCATCTGGCTGTCACTCACGGCTCCTTTCACAGTTAACGGAGACACACAAGCCACGGAAGAGATGGCTACACGGGTTCCCCGGGTGGCTTGCACAGATGGAGACGCCACGAGCGGGAGGAAC